TGCTTATAGTATTAATATATTATACTCTCTAGTTTTGTTATAACAATAATCAAATTATCAATTTATTGTGTTGATCTAGATAATATTTTAATTATTTTTTATGATTTCGAGTAACTGATGAAAATTTAGATTTTATTTTATAATTAATACATATTTCAAGAACTTAAGTGCAATCCACTACAATCTGTTCAACCTATCATAATTTTACCTGATTAATGTTGTTTCAAGAAGGTTAAGTTATATTTTTTTTATCCATAATCAGAAACTTAAAATTTGATTATATAATAAGTATAATATATTACAGATGATTTTTGTTAAATATCAAATAATAATAGATTAAGACAAATTTACCAAGAAATAACTAACTTTTAATTCAGTTTTTAGTATAATCATCTAATTTTTTTCTTATTTCTAATGAGAAATTTAACTATTAATTAAATTATATGAATAATAATACATAACTATTTTAATACCTAGTACTCGCATAGTTAGGTATTAAAATAAGTGAACTACTAGGCCATTACTTACAAATCATATATTAATATATTAACAATTATTTATAGTAATTATTCAAATTTTTAAACTGAATATATATTTTCAATTTAAAAAAAATCATAACTATGAAATATTATCATTATTTTTATTCTTAATCCAGTATCAGAAACTATGATTATCAACTTGGAAAAATAATAAAAATGTAAAATATTATAATTATAAAATTTAATGTATAATATGAATTATTTTTTAAAAAAAGCCAATATATTACTATATATATTTTATAAAAATTAGAATATATTACATCATCTTGAGAGTGTAGTCTCTTATAAGTTATCAAGGATTTCAAGGTTTACTTGAGTTTTATGAACTTGGGTTTGTTAGAATTCTCAGTTTTTGTTAACATTCTAATATGGTTTTGTATTATTTGGTATTATGTATAAGTACTATAAGTACGTTTTGTTATTTTTGTTAAAGAGTCATAAAAGATTAGTTTTGTTAAATTGATAATTTATTACAGTACCATTAGAAAGAAATATGCGATATTTGATTTAATTGAATTGAATTAATATTAAACCAAGTAGGTACTTAATAACTAGTTACTACTCTCAGGTTTTATAATATACAGATGTCTTTTAAATGGTTGGACTTATCATTAGCAAACCTACTTTCATAAATATTATTAACATGAATATTTTCACAAAATATTAGCATATTATGATATTATTTTAAAAATATTTTGACTATTTTTGCGTTGTTACTACAATATTTTGAATTTGTAATAAATTTTTGCCCTTCTTAGTTTTTTTTTTTTTTTTTAATAATGTATAATACAATTTTTATTTCTATATAAAAAAGCTTAAAAATATACAATCATATTTTCATATTTTTTTCCTATAACATTTAAAAAATATGATAATTCATAGTCACTGTGTTTTTTTTATGAGCATTAATTGAAGCCAAAAACATTTATAAATTATTTTGTAGTTAAAAATGCATAACATTTTTTAATTTAAACCTAAAACTTAAACATTTTATAAAAGATTCCTCATAAGTTTTTATTACTGAAATAAAATATATAAAAAAAAAAAATGTTAAACGTAAAACCACATTTATTTTTATGAGCGTTTTTTCCTGGTCACCTAACTTAGAGAAGTTGGCTGTACATTTTTTTTTTATTCTAATTTAATTTACAAAGGGTGCATAAACGAATCCGAGTATAAAAATACACAATTTTTTAATTTTATTATACAATTATTTGTAACTTTAATTAGAAAATTACATCCCACAAATAAAATTCTGATCAAATTTAATATTGTTCTATAAATTCATAAATATCTTAAAATATGATTCTTGAAAAAATTATTATGTTGAAGACCTACATTTCACAGCAACAGATAATATAAAATAATATTTTTAAATTGAAATGAACTTAAAATTTAGAAAAATTAAAAGCTTGTTTTCAAAGATCTTGAAAAACCAATTAAAATAATAAATAATTTTTGAAAATATTACAAAATTTATAAATTATTATTTTACACTAAAAACTAAAATATTTATCTAAGTCTCAAAGTTTAAACAATATTTGGGAATATGATAAGTATTCTATATTACTAGACAAAGAAGAAACGAGTAGATATGCATGAGAATAAACACTCGGTGAGATATTATTATAGGTAAAATAAATATTATACATAATACGTCGTAAATAATATATTTATTTTAATATTTTTCGACGATTACTTTTCAATATAAAATATATATTTAGTGATATTTCCATGTTTATATTATATTATATTTTGTTTTGTATCTTAATAGAACTCTTATTTTGATACAGCGTGTGTGCATGCGTCTACTCCTCGCCACCGCACCACCATACACCAATATTCGAATCCCGAGATAGAAAAAACTAATAAGTCCCAAAAGTAGTAGCAATAACAAACATGGCGCGTTTTCGTTATCATTTCAGTCACGTTCAAATCGAACGTTACGGGTCAGACGGGCTAGCGGCATCCGGTCGCTCCGGCCTCGTTCCTGCTCTTTTATCTACTTATAGTGGTTTATCAAGAGGAGTCAGTTACTGATGCCAATCGACCGGGTGTATATAGAAAACCCAACGGTGTATTTTGGGGTAATTGTTGTCTTTTAACATTTTCATCTCAGACATCGTCGACACGTCATCTCTTGTATAAATCCTATTTAAAATCAATGCGCTACACTGTTGTCTGAGAGTGAAGCTCATATTATGTACATTATAATTTAGGTATCGACTCGTTTGAGAAAAATGTATAATATTATAATAATATATAGCCTCTCTAGAACTCTAGTAAGAAAAAAAATGGTATTCACTTTTTTCCGTCCGCGTATTACGGCCAAACAACTCGATAATCATCACAAATGATTTTCATTGTTCTTTTTTAGGTTTTTTCGCACATTATTATTATTACTTTTTTTTATGGCAAAAAGTTTTCACGTCCCCTGTTAATTTATCGACAATATAATAATACTTTATTAATAAGTTTTGACTTCTTGAACGAAATAACTACACACCAACATAACTATGTATGAGAACATATAAAGACCATTCGTACTTTATCTGCAACAAACCATTTGTTATTCTTGCAATGGTTTTTTTTTTTTTTTATCTCGATACAAAACTAGTTTTTATAAAAAAAAAAAAAAACTAAAATAGATAATAACGAACGTAAAAATGTTTATGGAAAACTTTGTAAATTTATTTATATGGTATCATATTAGATAATTACTGTGCAACTATAGGTGCTGAATAAATGTAAAACAAAAAAAATAATAAGAATAGTATTTAAAAAAGTCGCGTAGAGGATTTAATTTAAAGTTGTTTTATTATTTGTTTTTTTTTTTCAAATTGAAATATTAAAATACTCTATACGATTTAAATGTACCTACTTTTTTTCGTACTATATAATAATAAGTAGGTATATAAACATATTAACTGTCTGAACTCAGAACTGTTAATATTTATTAATTATTTTAAAGAATTACAATATAACACACCATAAAAAAGCATTGATAAAAATAAGTTTTTCCTTATAAGTTAACTCATACGTTTAAAACCATTTTTTTTTTTTTTTAACTCAGGGTAATGAAATAATACGATCGTCAGATATTATTGTAGCATTAATTCTTAGTTAGGTTGAATTGTATACAATTTAATTGGAAAAACTATGTAGATTTGGGTTGTTTATTTATATTTTTGTTTAAAAATAGACGATTTACAAAATCTTTTTTATGATATCAAAACAATAAATTATTTATTTTAATGCTACATTAATATTCCTCATTTTTTGATTTTTGGTAAATGTAATCAAACGTGTTACTCACATTTTTATTTTTCCCTGACATTCACGTAGTTACCTACTTTAATAAATACTAACCCATTCAAGATTAAATATAAAACACAAAATAATTATTATTAAGTATAATAAATTTTTAATATATGTATAAGAAAACAATAATTCTTCACAATAACAGTAATAGTAATATTAATTTTGTATTATGATCTACATTAAATAATATAAACTAAAATAATTAAAATTGTAACTTCTATAATTTATATATATTGCAATGTACATGTTACATTCATGATCCTATTTATTTACTGTAGGATTGTGTATGGGAAAACGCAGAAATATTTCTAAATGTCTCACAATAACCGGATACTCATTTATCAGCCGAATAGGGTTTGGTATAATATTATGTTGTGCGCAAACAAAGTCTTGTGAATCAATTATCATTCTATATAATAACAGCCAAAATTAGATAGGGTTGAATGTCATGTGCGTTTAATGACGTCGTCGGTGGCGTGAATTTATAGCCCGGCTGGCAATTCGGGTGCTGTGGGGAAATTAGGAATGTCCGAAGAGTATTGTCATGGCACAACAACCGTAAGCTAACAATTATTATTAATAAATGGAATTTATATCCACCGCCACGCCACTACTATTTCGAATACACGATAACCTCCGGCGAAATTCACTCAGACGTTTGGCAGCTTATTTCTCCACTACAAAACTATTTCCAACGGATGGGCGAGCGATCTGTTCCGTTTTGTCGCAATTATTATAATAATAAGAAAAATAATAACAATGTATCAATATCGTTTATTTGTATTATTAAACTTTATAATACAACTAATAGAATAATGCGACTGTCAATTGTGTTTGTAGTGGATTTATTATTATTATTATTATTATTATTATTATGTACAAGTACAATCAAAAGAAAGGTTATTTATTTCAATAAGTATTATAGATCGTTCTATATTTTTGTACAGGGCTCTACTGTATGTAACGTTAAGTGAGGTTAGGCTGACCCACAGTAGAAAGTGTTTACCCATTTACATGCTTAGTAATATGTTATGCAGCTAACGCACATACAAAATAATCTACATATTTATATTATTCACCCTCGCAGATTTCATATTTATATAGCATGCATTAATTTTTGTTTTTATTTTTATTTTACAGAAACGCTATGCGGACCTCACGAGAAGCGATTGCTCAACGATTTATTAGACCCTTACAACACACTAGAGAGGCCTGTAGCTAATGAATCGGAGCCACTACAGCTTAGTTTCGGCCTTATGCTCATGCAAATCATAGATGTGGTAAGTAACATTATTGATAATTTGATTATTACAAAAGATTAAAATATATTCATAATATGGAATTTTAACAATATAAATACTTTTAAAATTAATTTATTTTTCAAAACAATTAACAAATAAATACATACAAATATACACATCTAATGAAATTAAAAAATAAATAAATTGAACCGTTTACGGTAAAATTTTACTATTGTAAAAGTGTTAAATATATAGACGTGAAATTTTGAATAAGAAGCCTTCCACTGACGACACTTAGCTTGATTAATTATATTTAATATATGTTGAGAGGTTGAAATTTATTAAAAATACTGTTTGTACAGAAGATCACACACCGCTACCTTTTTAACTTGCGCCTAAAATTTCTTGGGAGTGTTAGAGCAGAAATGTTTTTGATAAGAAGATTCTGATTAAATAAAAGTCGCTTGTGAAAGCGCGAGTAAAAAAATTGTGCTCCTTCATTAGAAGTTTTCATATAAAATCGTTATGTGAGGTTAGGTTTGGATAAACTAAGTTTTGGAACGCTTAGATTTTGTTTGTGTTGGATTTTTCTGTAGAACTTCAAATCTGTATACTATAAGTCCATATAGGTTTAAGAAGGATTTTGCAAATTAGTAGTTTGACTTTTATATTGGTATTATTATTTTTGGACATAAGAGGACTGAGTATGCACATACGAACATTAAGAGCCAGTCTTTTGATTTGTACATAGTATTTCCCCTGTATGAACTATAATCAGTTGTTATAAATATATTATTTGGTTATTGTAAAATAGCATATTTAAATTCAAGTAAATATCATTCAATAGATGCTGTTGGTATATGAATAACGACGTATTAAGGATTTTAATAATTTTAAAAAATATAATAACCTAATTAGCACTCAAAATTGTACATTTCCTATTTGGCATACATTCAAAACTATGGTTAATTTTGTTATCTTTCAGCAAGTTTTGAATACTTTTTTTTTATTACTTTTATGCGTAAAAGTCACCTAACTTTATAATATATGCTTTTTTGTTGTCATCACTGTTTTTGTTGTTTGGTTCGATAAAAACCTGTCAAAAATGTTTCTCCCAGTCTACATCGTCAGCTAGAAAAATCTAGCTCAAAGGCGTGAACAAAGCGTATAATTTGTGCAGGGTGGGCCAAGCAAAGTTTAATGTTTGAAAAGTACCCAAGCGAGTTTTCTTTCTAACTTTTCATTTTTGAGATTCAAATATTTTTTACAACTGTAAAATAATAAGATTAACGTCTCTAATATGCAGAAAATACTTTTATATTTTTATTGAATTCAATATAATAGCATATTTAGTATTGTTTTTTTGTTTATTTAGTAAGCAGATTTAAATAAGACTGTTTCTTTTTAGTCACAATACTCCATTCTAAATCTTTAACAAATATAGTCATTTAAATAAACTACATGTAAATTAATACAACAAAAATCGTACTGAATTTAATTTAATTTATTTACATAAATAAATTCAAAGATTTTTATGGCAAATAATTACAAATTTAAAGATTATTTAATCATTTAACAATATGATAAAATGAAGTAAAAATAAATTTTAAGCAGATATAGTACGTAAATAATTATTATATTATATTATATTATTCAAGACAATATTAACTTTTTTTTATATTCAAATGTGTTTTAATTTTCAAAAAAATAATATAATACTTTAAAAAAAAAAAATTAAAAACCAAAATACTAATGTTTGTATAGATTAGAACTAGAATTCATTACTTTTAAACAAAATTCAGTAATTGCACAAAGTTAGTTTTAAATTATTAGTAACAATAAACTTATGTTAATAATTAAAATTACAAAATTTAAATTATCAATTATCACAACATTTAACACAATTGAAATTTTAATATTGTAATTAGAATTGAAAATATTTCTCAAGAATAACTACATTTTGAAGTTTAGTTTAGCTTATTAATAGTTTTCTCATGAGCATATCATGAACATAGATAGAGAGTTAATTAATATTTTTCGGTTAAACTAGATACCTATTGCAGTAATAACCTAACTAACCTCACTTTTTAGGCCATTTTTAATAATATTTGTAATTTATATATATACCACTTAATTTAATTTAAATTTTTTAATTATTTTAATTTATTATTAATAAATGTACGTTTTTTAGTTTATTCTGGCAATTTAAATGTAAATATTCTATAAAATAACTTCTATCGAATATCAAAACGAATTCAAAAATAAATGTGTTGTGTATCTAACGTAAGTTAGTGAAGTGAATGTGAATATATTTGAACTTTAATACTGCACGTCGCAAAGATTATCAAAGAAGTCTCAAATTCATTTGACTAATGCTTAATATTTTATATTTTGGTCACGAATATTTTATCCTAGCTCAAGTATAGAAAATAATTCAAGATTTTTACCCAACTGGCTTTGCAATATATTTCCTATAGTAAATTTTAAATAAGGGGAAAAACTAGTATTTTAAGAATAAGTTAAGAGGGCACTTATTTCACTGAGTGTATCCAAAAGAGCAAAGGAGACATGAAGATAGTTTAATAAAACATTCCTAAGGTATATTTATATTTTTTTTATTTTTGCAGTCCGTCACCACCCTTTTCTACCGAAAAAAGGAAGGGCTGTTTAAAATTTATGTATTCGTCCTCAGAGTGTAAACGTCAGTTACCCCGGTTACCTAGCATTCTGAATGTAAATTTATCGACCTCTTTTAAAAGGGGTTGAAAAACATAATATTTATACCTATAGATTGGCACATAGATAAATTTTTGTATAGTTGAATTATTTGATATCGACAGAGAATTTGAGTACCCAAATACTAGCCCATAAATGAATCGAAGTTCTTTTCAATATTTAAATGTATACAAAATATCATGATTAAATCTAATCATAACATAATAATTTAAACAATAATTTTTAGTAATGCAAACATATTCATTTGTTTCAGGATGAAAAGAATCAGCTGTTAATTACCAATATGTGGTTAAAATTGGTAAGCATATTTTGAGTTTAATTTAAAAAAAATTAATACAAATAAAATTTAACTTGAGATACATAAAAAAATAATTAAACAAAAATCAAAATAAATAAAATAATAAATTATTCACTACGATTTACGAATATTATAAAAATAATTATACGTAAAATAAATATTCTATTATTTTTATACTAAATGCAATTTATTTGAAGTATATAGTAAATTTTTTCAAGACTTATTTAAAATTACAATAGTTTATGCCAAAGACATAAAACTTTAGTAAATCTCAGTTTTTCTAATTTATATGAAATGAAACATTTTATTGTTTGTCTTCTAATCTTAACTTTTCGCAAAACAATCATATATACTATAATATTCTACCAATGGATTGAATTTGCAATATTAACGGAAAAGGAAATTAAAAATTGTGTATCAAGTATAGACAAAAAAAAATGTATTTAAATAAAAATGTTTATTGTGATATTATTCATAAATTAACTACAATATTTCCAATAATCAATAATGATAAATGATAAACAAGTATTATTTTGTTTTTTTATAAGAACATTACTAAACTATTATCATAGTTTTTATGAAACTCATTAATTACACTTAAAATAAGCAAGCCACTTATTTTTTATTTTATCATTTAATCTTGGATGTACCTAAATGTATTTTTATTAATTAATATATAACCAAAAAATTAATGAGTTAAATTTCTAAGTATTAAATAACAACAAATAAATTATTATGATATATTGTTATGAACTCATAAATCCCTGTTCATAAATTATAATTAAATTGTGAATTCCAATATTATATATTAAAGTAGGTTACGTATTTTGGTATTTTCAATAATAATCGTATTGTAAAATATATATTTTATTTTATAAAACGTACCAATTCTGTTTTAAATTAAATAGCATGTAATGCTTTTATTTGATTATTTTTTATTTTTAACCTGATAAGTATCATATGGACTATGAAGGAACATATTATTTTTAAACGTCCCTTCAGAATATATATATAATAACTCAATATGTTGTATAGTGTATAATAACGAGACCAAATGTGGAGTGAAGTTCTTAACAGCCTCTCGCATATAAGTACAAAAGAAAAAACCCATAGATTCTTTAATAATGCACAAATGTACTTCAAAATGGTGGTTTTAAGTTAAACACTTCGATTTTTAGAGCTTAGAGAAAATCTATAGTTAGAGTAAGTGTACTTTACATGTTCGTATACAAGTATATAGGTATGAGCGTTTACTCCGAACAGCTTTCAAACAAATATATAAAAAGTTTTGTCCTCTTGATTAATGTAATGTGCAATCATATATATCCATATAGATTTACAGACCATTTGTCATGATTTTTATTTTTTCGTCTTTTTACCTAAAGTCGTAAAAAATGGATAGCAACATAAACGATTAATCACACAAGTGGTGAGACTGAGTGACAAATAAAAAAAGAAAAAAATGAGATTCTGTATAATCATTCATGATTGCAATATTAACCAATTTAATGAAATAAAAAACACTAAACAAAATACACTATTTCAAAATTCATTTATATTATATAAACTTATCTTATATTTATAATTAAAAATAAACGAACAAAAACTTTGAATTTATATTTGTTTGTTTTTTACAAAGTATTAAAATACAATTTGTCACACAAAAAACATAATTTAAAATAAACATCAACACCTAAATTATTATGAATCACTTAACCCTTTTTAATGTATAATAGATAAAGTTTATCTAAGTTTTATATGTATATAAAGGTGTTCCAAAAAAGAACTTATTTAAGAAATTTAAAATGAGTACCCTCTTATTTTTCAAGTAAAATAATTTTTATGAACATTTAAACCAGATTACTTATCCTCTTCGCGTACAACAAAAGGGTTAAATAATAGCCAAAAAAAAAAATGTTTTACATTATTTTTCAGCTATTTCAAATATTTGATCAATTTTCCACAAAAATTATTATTACCGACTAAAATAATTATAAATTAATTATTGTAGAACAAAATAAAATAATATAATCTTAAATGTATTATGTTTACAAAAAAAATACAAAATATGTAAATAATCCAGCAGAATTTGAATTTTACATTTATTTCGAAATATTTAAATAAAAAAAAAATAATAAAAATTGTTTTTAAAAAAAAAATATTATATAGAAAAATATCGTAAAATCGCCTGAATTTTTATATTATTAGAATTTTTTCAACATGATTTACTCGTATGATATTAACTTTTTTATAAAGATAAATAGTAAGATAAGTTCAATTCGAAAGTGAAAAAGTTTTCGTTAAAATTAAACACAGTCTCCTAGAAATATTATAATTGATTCCAATTTCAAAGAGCTTCACATAACAACTTCTGTTATTCTTGATTTCACTAATTTAATTTTATACTTACGATAATACATAGAGCTACATATTTTAATTTTCCATTAATTCTACAGTTTAATATAAAAATAAAAAAGTTAAACTAGGATTTAAGCTAATCCCTATAATCTATATTTTTATAAATGTGTATAATTAACATACTGTCATCAATAATTATTTATTATCTATGTAAACTATAAAATAATTATTTATAATATAATGTTGTTAACAAATATAAAAATCAGATATTTTAAGAATTAGAAGTATACACTGTACGCACGTTATTTAATAATCAAATGTATCATTAAAAGTTTTCATTTAAATTTAGGAGTGGAATGACGTCAACCTCAGGTGGAACCACAGTGACTATGGTGGTGTAAAAGATTTGAGAATACCTCCGCACAAGATATGGAAACCAGATATGCTCATGTATAATAGGTTAGTACACATATTAATGCTTTGCCTACACAACTTGAATAGTGTATTTTAACGTTATTACAGTATTATGCAAAAATAATAGTTTATTTTAAAGTGTAATAACTAAGTGTATGACAATATTATAGTTTATAAACATCACGCATTTATCGTTAATAGTTTAGAATGCTTCGACAGCAAAAATGATTACATCATGTGAAATGAATCGAGTCGAATATGGGTAACTAGACCTTGATGGTTTCTGGGTGATTGAGCAAAGAGTAGCTTAAAGAAGAGTTAAATGTGTTATAGAATAATACTTATAAAATTTGAATTGTATCCAAAATAGTTTAATGATATTTAGAGATTTTGAATATTGAAGACAAGGATGCCAATAAATCTTTGTTGATGTACAGTATACACTCAATGCAAAAATTGAAAATTGAGGAATTAAGAATATTATGTTTTTAATTTATTGTGAATTGTTTAATAATTTAAATTCAAACAAAAATTACGTAGAAAAATAAATAATTTTCTTTGTATACTTAAAAATATATAAATCGAAGAAGGGTTATTATTTTTTTTTTCTTCTTGATAGTCATGTAATAGAGTCATAAAACAAACTCAAAATAGTTGAACAGGATCTTGATTGTCAATTTATAGGGTGATTCTTGAGAGAACTTTAATAACCCGTGTTTATAATAAGAATAAAGCATTGAAAAAGTTGCAAACAAAATTGTCTATTTACTATTATGTCGAAACATAAGAGATAAAAAAGATAAAAACAAAATTAATGCGATAAAGTTTGGGAACCAACCGAGTGTAGATATAGCGTAGAATATAGTGGATACATATGTATATAAAACATATATAAGTTTGACCGAACAAAATGGAACAACAAACCACAGAAATAATATGAGTTAAGATAAATCATTCGAAAAGTATAAGAAAGTTTTCTAATAGGAGTGACATCAAAATAGCTATAAATTTAGGAAGTTTGAGTGAAATTGAAAGATTTGTGTATGAAAAAACATAGTCTAAAATACTGTAATATAATTTCATAAAAACACACTCATCCACTTTCTTTACAGAATTTTTAAGAATTGCGTAATCAAAAACAACATAATGGGTAACTGATGACATCCGTCTGATATAGTTCACAATATAATTTAAAATTACGTATTTTAGACTAAAACATGGCTAAAATAAAATAAGTAATTATTTTCTATTAAATTAATCAACTGAATAAATATTTAATCAATGGTAGATCATAAGAAAGTAATAGCTGATAAAATAACTACATCCTTTTACTCACGTCATATTACATTATAGATAAATATTTAACATCAAAACTCAAAAGCATATATAATTATAAGTGTAAATGTATGTGTAAATTTAACTGTAGCATATAAATAGTAAGTAATTGGTAAATTAATTACGATAAATAGTTGATCGAGACTTGAACAAGTGACCGTACGTGTTTTATAAACGTAGGTATAAGATCTTATTAAATATAATACTAAGTAATTTAAAATTATGACTGAAAAATGAAATGACAAAAAAAAAGACTAATTAATTTATAGTCTTACTATATGCTAAATGTTAATATAATTTATGACATTAAAATAAACCAGATGAATTTATTGTTCACTTTTCAAAAATTTTGTTAGTTTTAAAATTATGAATACTAAAATTATTATAATTATTTAATTGTTAAATTTATTATTTTTATTTTTAATTTTTAACTGTGAATTTATTATTTAATCTTAATATAATATATGATACTATTGATGTAAAATTATTACACTGTTACTGAGATTTCATAATTTAATAAAATATTTCTACTACTATGAATATAAATATAATATAAATTATATTGACGTTATATTATAAGTATAATATGTTACAAATCAAACATGAATAAATTAATCAAAACTAAAAAATCTATGAAACAAGCAATTAACTATTCGGTATAAAGTAAATATTTATTTCAGTTAATTAAAAATTATTAAAAATAATAATTATCAAAATTGTATGTAGATATATTTGATAAATTTTAAATATCCACCTTCTTGCCCTTAAATAATTTCTGAATCCATTATTATATTTAATAATTAGTTTTTTATCTAAATGTATAATTTTTAAATTTAAGTTTTATTATATTAATTTGCTTATAATAATAAATAATATATTCACTAGTTTTTTGTTATTTTAAAGCGTCAATGATAATGATAATAATACAACGATAATAAAGATAACATCAAATCCAATAATATGAAAAAGTTTTGATTAAATCAATGTACTGTAATAATTAGGAATATTAATGTAATATATAATAATAATATTATTGTTGTAGTAAATTTAAAACCCACGGTTACACTTTATGTTTGATATTATAGGTACAATAAAACTTTAATTCTGTAAAACGATTTTAAGAAAAAAATATTTAATACTCCAATCCCTATAGCTAAAAAAATGCATTACCAAGCTGATTCAACTACAACAAATGTCTAAAACTAAAATAAATTGTTATATGTCGAAAAAAATAAAAAAAACAAATAAAACTTAACATAATATCATTTCAATTGCGAGTACTTTCCAACAAATGAAATAAGTATATTTTTCCAGTGAAATTTAATGTTATTTTCGAAAAACTAATAACTATGTACCTACGTAATATTATATATCACACCAATGTTTAAATTATCTCTGAACTATGTTTTTAGCGCTGATGAAGGTTTCGACGGCACGTACGCAACCAACGTGGTGGTAAACAGCAATGGTAGTTGTGTATTCATACCACCGGGAATATTCAAGAGTACGTGCAAAATCGATATCACATGGTTCCCCTTCGATGATCAAAAATGTGATATGAAATTTGGCAGTTGGACATACGACGGATTTCAGGTGAACTCGACCGAACACGATTTAAACTATATTATTTTTCGCAATTTCGCGGCATTTCGTTAATTTTATCCTTCAAAATACCATTTCCATTGAATTCAACAAATGACCGGCTAGTTTTCATGTAATCGCTGTTATTTTAACGTAATTAAATACACAATTGTATTACACATATACAAGCGTCCATTGTGCTTATTAAACATTTAATATATTATAAACTATTGACTGCATAATATTATATATTGTTGAAAACATGAAACAATAGCTTACCACATTACTTTCGTAGTGAATTTTTTTTTTCTATTTTTATTTATAGAAAATAGAACATTAATGTATTACAGATATGATTAAATTTAATTGATTTTCTTAAGGTTCATTTTTTAACAGATTCAAAAAATATGTATAATAATGACGCTAATCACATATTGTGCATTTTAGTACCTAAATATTTTGCCAATAAAATTGTTTTTATTGTGTATTTTAGTTGGACCTTCAACTTCAAGATGATAATGGAGGAGACATCAGTGGTTTTATTACTAATGGTGAATGGGACCTGCTTGGTGAGCAAATAAAAAATCGCTGTAGAAAATAATTTTTTTTTAACAGATTTGAATTGTTTTAATTTTTATTGTTTCTAATTATTAACTAATTTATCATTTTTAGGTCTACTTGTGATTTTTTGAAAGAAAAATACTATGGTTTAGTAAATAAATAATTTAATTTTTCGAAATTGTCTATTACGCATTGAAATGTCGTTGTATTTTAATTTCTCTTAAAAAATCACAATATAATAATATTATTATACAAATACATATTTAAGTCCATAATAAATTAGTTTTTTTTTTTAATATTTTTCTAATATTAACAATTCATTCTAGGTAGATCGTTAATATTAATATTAAATTGGTTTATCATAGCATCACTTAGATACATATTTGATATTACATATAATATTATCAATGTAGTCATTAAAATACAACAATTTTATTTATTTATTCATACTTACACAAATTAATTATTATTATTTGGGTATACTGAAACTCTTTAGTAAATTAAATTACTTTAACTTAAAAAATATTTTTTATCTATGTTAATATCATTAACAAATTTAAGATAAATCAAAATATATCCTTTATGAATCAATTTATTTTTGTTAATGTAAAACACAAAGCTTATTGTATATGAAAATTTTAAATAAGTACTTCATCTACAATATAATTCACTGATATAATCACTTTATATGTGACGCAGTAATACATAAGTCATAACTTTACCATAAAGTAGTAAACATACTTATAATTATTTATAACCTCCTGTGTGTGGATACAATTTAACATTCAGTTGTTTCTAGAGTTTCAGTTACCTTTAATCTTTACATTCATTATAAATTTAAATCTAATACTTTTACGTAAATAGTTTTCAATTGAAGATAGTAAAAAACCCTATCTAATAATATAGGCCACACTAAACACATCAAAGCACATATACACATAGTTTTAGGTGTTATGGTAAAAAACGAATGGAACACACCGACCCACAGTTATACTTTTAAAAGAATTTTTATTGAACATACGTTGTATATATGTAAATAACTTACTTAATATACTATGAAAATATTTTTACATATACTTTACAGCATTATTTATTTATAATATATAAATATAACTAAAATAAATACATCCCATTTAGTTAATTTTCAAAAAAAAACAAATTTGTATCTTCCAATTATTACAACAATGAGTATAATTGTTTTACTGCCATTTAACAAAAATTTTAATTTTAAAAATAAATAACACCGATAAAAAATATTCATTTGAATTTCAGCTTACAACGAAGCATTGTTCCATTTTATTTATACTCTCCGAGTGAAGATAAAGTAGTAATAAAAAGAATATATATACAAATATAAAATATTACTCATAAAAAAATCATTCGATGGGAATACTTGCTAATTGTATCCTGGCTAAAAATACATTTTCCTCTGATTCCAAATATCCTGAACAAAATATATAGTAATATAATAGTGATTAAAAATATTTTAAATATATCTAATTCAAAACACAAAATTATATTAAAAAAAAAAAAAAATTTGCATAAATTTTATTTCATTTTAGCACTAAATCACATCAGTTTAAAAAGCATGGTTAGATACACACAAGAGTAGGTATTTAACATGATGAGTGACGAATTTAATTAGATATTTGTAAATTCATAATCCATAAAGCACCATAAGAATTAAAATTATTCAGCCTATTTTTATTTTTTTATTATTTTATTTAACAAATAATTCAATTAAGTTCAAAATTTTATGTTAATATGATACACATCATATTATTAAAAACAATAAATTTGAAAACAATTATCTGTACTCATATCTGTTATTATTTGTTCTACAAACGATAGTTTTTTTTTCATTATTTTTATAACCTACTTTAACATATTATCTTACTTTTACATATTAACGTGCCAGCATATCTACCATTAAAATTAAAAATCAATTTCCAATAATTAATAATTATACAATAATTTTTTTTTTTTTTTTTAATATTAGGATATTTGAATTCGTCACTTACATCAATATTAGTATTCGTCGAACTTAAATTGATGAATAAAAATACACTATTTGTGTGACAGCCACTTAAACATGTTAACAGTTTAGGTACCTACCTAATTTATTTATTCTTTCGATTGTAATTTTACATTTTTTTTAAATACATCACAAAATATTACAGCATTAACATAAATTAAAACAACACATTAGAAATACATCTGTACACAGATTAAATTATTATTAGATTTAAAGTACATTATTTTATTTCTTAGTTATTTGCACGTTTATTTAATTTTAATAATCATTGCATATAATTAGTTAAACGGCTTTTCTTTTCTTTTTTTTTTTTTTTGTTCTTGTATGTAGTTATTTATTATTATACAATACGGTGATCCATTATAATAGAAACTTATGATTACTTACATCAATAATAATCGTAAATAATTCTTTAAAGTTGAAAATTTATAATAAACTTATTCGTGTTTATGGTTTTAGTAACCCTTTATCAGTTTTTGATTTTATGAATTATTTATTTTAAAGTTGACTTAATTTCAAACAAAAATAATGTTACTTCATTTTAAATTTCACAAGATAAATATGTTTGAAAGTTATATATATTCAACAATATATCTTATATGATTATAGTTGAAATAATTTTAATTTTAATATAGAACAGTTATATTATCATGGGTATTTTCTTTCTTGTAAAGCATCGTAATTGTAATTTAGAACAGTTTAACAACTTAAGCTGTAATCATCTACTACTTATAATATCGTTTGTTAAAAATTAATGGATCGCCTCATTTATATTTTTCCACCTCTATATCTATTGTGCTATTAAAATATATTTATTACAATGACATTTTGACACACAACTATTGTTTTTAGTGTGTTTTTGTTACCACATAAGTATTGATTCACTCGAAAAACAAATAATTCATAAGAATAAATATTACTGTTGTAAATTAAATATATTTTCTGGACCGTCTGAGCTGTTATGTTATTTAATAACGTATCATATGATATTAATATGAGCTATTTAATTTATTTTTTTATTTATATGACTTAATAAATTTTTAATTTCACATCGATTTCTACGTATTTTTTTTTTTTAATATTTATATTTATTATAAATCCGGCTTTCATTATTTGTTATTTATATTTTACTATGCTTATAACCAACAAATACTATTCCCACGAAGATTGAGTTCATCAATATTTACTTCAGTATTGTATTTAATGAGATTTTTATTATATTGATCATAATAAAAATAAATACAAAAAGTTTTAAACTGATTTGTGATCAAAATATTTCACTTTTACCATAAATATTTACTACTTACATAGATACACAATTTATACAATATAAGAAAAATAAAAATCTCGTAATATGATGTTTACTTAAAGAAAACAATATACATTTCCTCTTCTCGGCATTTTACTGATAAATAATAGCGTACACGATTAGGTATAACGGTGTAAGTGCGAGGTAGATAAGTATAATATTAATTATATATAGTATTAATAATATATATATAATATTAATATTATAAATTATAAACATTTCAAACTCATTTCCAAAAACGACGACGGTCCAGTATGTTTAATAACACAACGTCGTTAATATAACGATAATAAAATTATAAGTGATAATTTATAACAATAATAGAAATATTTAATAATTGTTTTCCTTCACATGGCTCTTCCTTTTGGCAGGCGTTCCCGGAAAGCGCAATGTGATCTACTACAGTTGCTGCCCCGAACCGTACATAGACATAACGTTTTCCATCCTAATTAGAAGGCGCACCTTGTATTACTTTTTCAACCTGATAGTTCCGTGCGTGTTGATTGCATCTATGGCCGTACTAGGATTTACTCTACCGCCGGACTGTGGCGAAAAGCTATCTCTAGGTAAACGAAATCAAATTAATAATCGTATAGTAATAATATGATAATAAATAACTATTTATGTTATTACAACTTTTCAAATTGTCTCGTTGTGCAATGTCTATTGTTTATGACATAGGGGTTTTTGCAGTTTTTAGTCTTAAGTGTAACATAATATGAGTATACAATATACATATTATATTATAATCTATATCTAGAGTAATGTTATAAGTATAACGTTATAATTATTTAAATGTGTGTTAACATAGTATTATAGGTATTATTACACTAATCAATATATTACATACTTTTTTCAGCTTTTTTTTTACGTCTCTCTCGACAAACTTCTTATAAATATACATTAAGTTTTGAATATAATTTGTAACTGATTGAGTAATTTGACTCAAAGTAAAATTCGTGTCCTTTAGTTGGCTACTACTAATTTTTTGCAATTCCCAATATGCATCAAGCGCTTTTCATTTAACCATTATTAATCAAGTTTAACCAAAAACACGACCTTCAGTTTTTTTCTTCATAATTACTAACGTCTTTTGTCGTATTATACACAATGGTAACGCGGAATCAAACAAAATCTAATTAATAACTTATTCGCATTGTTAGGCGCGTGAATAAAAGAAAAAAACCAAAAATCGTGTTTCTAAAAATCATTCTTTAGATGTGATTTATTAATAATGTTTAAGATATTTTCGTTCATACTATAGTTTACTGCAGTCTGATATATGACATGTACAAACTTATCGAACTTACAGAATGTAATTTAAAAAAAATAGCTATTCATCAAGACTTTTGTCGTTTTGAGTCATATGATGAATCAAATACCAGAAAAGTTTAATAACATCGATTACACTATAATTCCGTGTTTCGTTACATCAGTGTCGGATTTTAAATTATCGATTGTTCAGACCATATCCGATCCTACATGGCAATAGAATGTCTAATGCATCTGAAATTACATTCATAAAAACAATATCTCTTTCTATTCGCCTCTGTGCAATAATAACGTGAATGATATAAGCAAGAATAATACAAAAACGGCAATTACAATATTATAGCGATAAACAATTTAATGAATTTAAATCCTCGATAAAAACAACCGATCTAACTAAGATGAGGGGGAGGAAGAGTCGTTAGATGCTACAACTCTACAGAGTAGGCGCGTCCCCTTCTTGTCATCGCACACATACGTCACATATTTTATAATTTCACCAATCCTCGTGTTATATAATAATAATTTATAATAAAAATAAATATTTTATTGTAACATGTTTTGTGTGTAAAAGGTAGTAATACTCAAGAGAGATGAGACTATCGCGAGATATTGAAAAAACCGTTATTTTGCATACACATATTTATGCATAATTTTTTTTTTTTTACTATGAATTCGTTTCGATGTGTATATGTGCATATTTTATCTCGATAACTCTACAATTTTCGTGGTATCCGTATTGTTTATTTCGTTATTCGTTTTTTGTTTTGTTTTGTTTTTTTTTTTTTTGTTTATATCAGTTTTTTACAGACTTGAAAGCTGCGAGGAGCTTGAGAAACTACTCTTGTTGTCCGAATCCGTATGTGGATATCACGTTTACCATATATGTTCGGCGCAGAACAGTTTATTACATCGTCAACCTGATTTTGCCGAGCGTAACATTGGCCGCTATGGCTATGCTCGGGTTCACACTGCCCTCAGATTGTGGCGAGAAAATGACCTTAGGTACCTACATGCGTACACAGTCTAAAACTGTTACATAAACTCAAAAAAATACGTTAACACCAACAAAAGTTTACACACAGTCACATTCACATATAACTTAAACAAACTCACAAGTAAACATTAACACATTTACGTACACAAAGCGCGTGTAACAGGACGTGTCGTATGGACAATAATATAATATTTTAGTGACGTCAATGACACGACCAAACTAAAATAATAATAAATTATTATTATTATAATTCATAATATATAATATGTATATGTATTTATATGTCTGTATATAATGTAACGATTCAATATTACTTGTGTACCTACCTGGTTCATACGAAATGAACCGTGGTAACCGCGATCTGGAGAGACGTACTCTGCAGATATGGGCGGCCGGGGAAACGATATTATTATTATTATTATTTTATTTAATATTTTTATTTTTTGTTTTATCAATCTATCACAATAGGCGTGTAAATATAAATGTTTTAATTAAAGGTGTAACGATTCTCCTGTCGTTGACCGTTTTTCTAAACATGGTGGCCGAGACAATGCCGGCTACTTCGGACGCAGTTCCTCTTTTAGGTAACGCACGGCCAACTGAACATTTTTGTATACAATATACGTACTCGTTTTATACTAAAATCTATACGTATATGATATACATAATATATTGTAATAAAATATTATATAAACATTTTTTTCGTGGTCACATAACTTGGCTAAGGAGGGCACACAAAACAACCACATTGGTAATCGAAACGCACCGAGTATATTTTTTTCATTATATATGAATTTATATAAATATATATATATACATATATTATAAAAATATTATTATATTTTTTCACAAACACATTTGAGGTCAAAAATGTTAAGTACTCTGTATTTTTTTTGTTATTATTATTATTTATTTTATTTTAATATTATTATTATTATTTTATTTTTTTATTTTTTTTTATTTTTATTTTTATTTTTTTTTTTTTTGATGACTGCGTATAAGTTATTACTAACAGAAAATATTTAATTTACATATAAATGAATTTCCGTATGAATCTATTTTACATAGTTACTAACAAACTCTAATTAAATATCGTAATACCATATTATTAAAATGTATAATGTACATAGAACATATACATTACACAAGTATTCATAAAATAAACTATTTGAGTAAAATATATGATCAATATTTTATTTGAATTACAAGATATAAAATACTATTTTGAAAAGATTTTTAAAAAATGTGATACCAATTTAAGTATAATCAATATCTGCACATATTTTAATTTAATTAATCAGAAAAGTATAGAAAGTTCATTAAACTAATATTTCAATATAAATCTTTACTTGTATATTTATGAATATACAAAATTATTATAGTTGCATTTATCAAGGATAAGTCTATTAAGCTTTGACTTATATAAAGATTATTTATTTTTTTATGTAGCTCATACCTATACTTAACGATTTCAAGGTAAATTAAATTTTACATTTTTTATGTTTCTTAATAACTAAGCGTTTCAATCATAAATTAATTAAATAGTTTGATGATACCTTTAATTTCATAAAGTAAGAAAAAATTTAATAAATTAATTTTTCAACAATTACCCAAATTAATTATCTGAAAACGTGTATTAATATTTAAAAGAAATTTTAATGTGATTGATTGGAGCAGGCTATTAAAGAAAATGATGAGTCGTTAACTAATAAACTAGTTTTTAAATTTTACAAAAAAAATTTCTCGACAATACTATAACTCGCGAATGATAGTTCTTTCTTAAAATAATTGGTTGAGTGAGTTTTGCTTTAAATTCATTTATGTGGTTCAAAAATAATTTTTGAAATTAATGTAAGTCAATAATATATATTGGTATGGAATTTTATAACTGAAAAAAATTGTGTTTATACTAATTATTTTAATAGATTTTGAACATATCTATTATATTTCTATTGTATTATTATTTTCACAAAGGAATCATGTTACGTTACAAGCACATTATATGATATTAAAATAAAATAACAATATATTTATCAAATATATTATAGCTCGAGAGGAACTGGAGACCAGGTTCCCATAATTGCATTGACAAAATACACATTTTCAGCTTATAAACCGTGTTGTAAACAATGATATTTTATATTAATTTATATTATACATTTTTTTTTTTTTTTTTTGCAAATAATAATATGTGTTCTTTTCAATAATTTATTAAAATTATATTTAATATTTTTTTTTGATGTTGGCGAACAGGAGTTACGGTTTTGCTATCGCTTACATTCTTCCTAAATATGGTGTGCGAAACAATGCCACCTGCCTCTGAGTTACCACTGATAGGTATAATCAAATTAAAAGTTTGTTATTTTTCTTTGTGTTGTTGTTGTTGTTGTTTTTATTATTATTATTATTATTATTATTATTATTATTATTATCATTATTATTATTATTATTATTATTATTTGCACCTGTTTAAGGATTTGTACTTGGATGGCAGGGGTACAACAATTGGGGGTCTTTAATTAATAAATATCAAATTTAACACGTACCATAAACATCGCAATAATAGAAAAAAAGAAATATATTATTATTGTTTAAAAATATATATATATTAGTTTCGGTAACAAATTGCTTGGAGGCTTCATATAGTGTCAAGTATTTTTTTTTTATTTTTTTTTTATTTATTTTTTTTATACGGCCAAAAAAAAACGATATGACAAATGCTTATTAGATATTAGATAAATATGCTTGTTAACTCTAATAATAATAATATATCCTATAACTATAGGTGTTATTCTGTGGGAACATAACAATGTTTTGCTCAAAAATCAATTGTCTAATCTATTTATTTAAAAATAAACTTCATCAAATATTTAACTTGTATAGATTAAAAACGCTTTGTTTAAACACAACTTTTATTATTGTTGTTATTATTATTATTTCGTTTATTATTTTTGTTGTTTATTATTTTTCATAATAAAATATGAATACATAGAACTCAAATAAACGGTCACGGGTTTTTGTTTTCCTTTTTCATTCGGCTCCATCATAATATTTTTATTTTCCTCCTATACATATTTATATTATATAGATATATGTATAAAAATACAATAAACGTACATAATATTATATACTATAATAGGTATAGAGAAAATTAAATAAATAGATAATTTTTATATTTATAATGTTATAAATTATAATATTATAATATATCTAATGCACGTGAAAAAATAAAAAATAAATTTTATTGAATGCATATACTTAATTGTACGTGTAAGGAACCATATTGTGTCATTTAGAACGCTTAGTGCCTATTTTAGTTATAGTTGGTTAGAAAAGTAATGCTCGGGATATACCCTCATAGACACAAATGCACAATACACGCACAGATACAAAATACATACACATACACATCATACACACCCGCACACATTTATCGGCAAATATATAGATAAATATATATATATATATATATTATAATATATGCTTTAGAATGCGCTTTCAAATGCGCACATTTAACACACTGAATACACAAGCTGCCGTGACTACAGTAGAAACCGTCACCGTAAGGATGCAATTTAGTGGTTTCAAAAGAATAATAAACTTGTGCGGGCTTTATATCGTCCGGGTGATAATGCACATTTTTTTATATACCTCCCACTCGCCGGTTCACCACGATTTCCATTATACCTCCACGTTACTACTGCCTCACAATCATCATCTATAATCACAAGTTCTCTTCATGAACTACCAATATTCCAAAAAAACATATGACATTCCAATCGAAATAAATATACTACAACCCTATATACACGTATTATAAATTTTCACATTTATATATGTGTATATAAAATATTTTATATATATATATATATATATGTATATAAAATATTATATATATCATAGTATACATAAAATATTGTACAATATCAATAAACATATATCGTGTAACTATCATAATAATGCATGTATTAATCTTTATTTTTATTTTATGTTTTTTTTATTATTTATTACATAAAAAACAATTGTTTAAAATGTTTTTGTATTTGGACATATTAACATCTTGAACTTTAGAGTGTGGAGTCCTTTAGCTTTCTACTAAAGTCAGTGTTCGCTTAATTAGTATTAATACAAGTCAAAGCAATAATAATATGATTTTTTTTTTTTTTTTATACGCACTGTAAAAATATTACATTTTCTTATCACACAATTACCATTAAATGTTAAAACAACAACGTTGCATCTTATTTGACACAGGTTTTATAAACGATTTAAATTATGATATATTTTTTAAATACGAATATGCGATGAAACTATTTTGGAATTTCAGTCGATCTAGTTACACAAATAAGATCCTTGCATAATGACATTCTGTTGCTTACTATTAAGAGATATAATACGTAAAACAATTAACGGGATCGCATTAAACATCATAATAATATATACCATAAACAGCACTGTATTATTTTATTCACCCTTTGAACCTGGTCTCCAGAAGAAAATACTTATCATAAAAAAATTATTTATAAAAACCACAATAAAAAGTTACGACCAAAAACATATTTCTCCGTGTTAAGTGACTTGAGAAACAAAAACCCAGTGAGCACACACGTAATTGTATTTTTGTAGTTTTCGTGTAGTTAGCAGTTTTGTTCGAGTTTATTTTCGGTTTCATTTCAACACTACCGCTGTATACTATTCATATAATATTGGTATAAGTTATTAACATGTATTAAAGTTGAAGTGTATTCATCAACAACACATAGGTACAAAAGATTATATTATAATCATTAAGTCACAAAATATAAATTGTCATACACGACTGTCTGACAATTGGTATCGTTACTAGTAGGTACTCAAATTTTCGTCCTCTAGTTATTACTGTTTTTTTTTTTTTTTTTTAGTCACCGTTAGCCTATACTTATACCTAAAACGTTATCATTGATTTAATTTTGTCGTTATTATTATCACTATAATAATAATTATTATTATTATTATTTTATTTTTATTTTTTTTTGTATTATTATTATCATTATTATTATTATTATTATTATTATTATTACTATTATTATTGTTATTATTAATATTATTATTATTTAATGGAATGTGTGGTGTTTGGCATTTATGTTGTTTCAGGAGTGACAATCCTCCTATCACTGTCCGTATTCTCACTCATGATAGCCGATGCCTTACCACAAACATCTGAAGCTATCCCCTTACTAGGTCAGGCAAAATTAAAAATAAAAACAAATAAATACATGTCGTATTAGGAACAATTTAATATTTATATATAAATATATAAATATGTATTTTATCATATATATATAGATTTATATGTGCATAATATATACATTATGTATACTATACTTGCATGTATATATATATATACATACACTTAAATCTTATATATATATGTGTGTTTATATACATATATTTATATTGAATTATATAAATTATGTTTCATATTTTATATACATATTTTAAACACTGTTTTTCTACTTGTATTTATATATATTTATACATATAATATTATATAATATAATATATATATATGCATATATGTATGTATACATCCATCTATTGCTGTGTAACCATAACCTAGTTCGAGTTTTTTATTTTGATTTTTTCCATTTAAATAAATCACACGTATATATATATATATGTATATTTTTTAATATATATACATTATACAATATACATATACATATTTTGCGGAATTTTGTGGTTTGTGTTCAGCTCAGCTTGCTCTTACTTTCTCTGTTTTCTCGTACATACAATATAAAATAACACATTCAACACACTCGCAACAACACAAACAATTAAAATAATCAAAATTAAGGTATTTGTGTCTGAAAGAACAATAAAACCATAACGCTATGAACAATAGATAAATCATTTTTTAAATAGATAAATTAATGATCATATTCAATAAATTCAATTTTTAGAGCTTAAAATTATTTTAATTTTTTTACTATAGAGTGAAGGGAAATTCAATACTTTTTAAACTATTTGTACTAAAAGCTTGAAAAAAATAAATTAATAAAAATAAGAATACTTATTTCAAATAGAAAATTTAATATTTTTGCTTAAGATTAAAATAATTTGATTACATTTTTATTTTTACAATACACATTCGTTTAAATAAGCAATTCAAAATATTTATAAAAAATAAAATTATTAAATAATACACTATTATACATCCGCTTAAAATTACTTTTATATCATACAGATTCAACATTTTAAGGGAGAGAGACTTTCTAAGTTCATAACGATATGGTTATTGAAAAATTAAAATCACAAAACACATACAAAATAAATTATTTACAATTATCAATTTTCTTTGCGAAAAGCCAAAAACGCTTGTACAATGTACATAAATACAAAAACACAAAAAAATACATCATATTTCTTCAACATCATTACAAACATTTCTATAGCATGCTATCTTTTTGTTTATGTTTCGTAAACTACTTGATCGTCACCGTGTTTCATTGTGCATTCGTATTTGTATTTAACATTCTGCTCTCAGTTGTCCGATAAACCATCTAAGCAGAAAAAAACTAAATAAGAAAGAAAACCGTGCGAATTTTAAATAATATTTTTTTTTAAAACTTCTACTAAATAAATACGTATATTAAAATATATATGTATAAACATATACATACTTATATGTTAATATACACTACTAAACATTTAAAAAATGTACACAGTTTTGTTCGTGTGATCATGAATATGTGTCAGTATGTTTTGTTTATTGTTATGACTATTATTTTTTTTATTTTTTTTATTTTTTTTTTTTTATTTCACTAATCATAGTAGTTTTATAATTGTTAATTTATTTTTATTTGTCATTTTCTCTACATTTTGTTTCTGTTCAGTTTATAACACTACACTATTAAAACCGAAACAAGGTACCAGATGACGTGATATTGCAGACTGCACCAGTGATCTATTGATTTTTAAAAGTTAAACAAAAAACATAATCAAAGAATTGAAAAAAAAAATTATTAGTTTGTTACAAATCAGTATAACTATTATTTATTCATTCATTTTATTTATATTATATATATATATATATAAAGTAAAACGTACATTTTTTTTTTAAAGCATATTAATATTATTTTTATTTTTATTTTATTTGTTATCATTTTACGTTGAAAATGTTCATCACACGATTATTTCACTATTTCCTTCCTCTTCCTTCTCATATTATAATTTATTAATTGATTTTATTTTTATTTTATTTTTATTTAATTATTTTCTCTCAATGTTGTGTGAAAACAATAAAACTGATTAAACCGATGTTGCCGCGTCAAAGATAAATATTAACCAATTCATATTGTAAATTAAACAATATTTGTTTATTTCACAAATTAAAAAATGGTTAAATATTAATTAAAAAACAAAATGTTTAATCAATCATATATTATATTACTATTATAATATATTTGTGGGCCCCTCTGCCTCCAAGTAACAAAGCCGGTAGTTTCTTAAAAATTATTTAGCTATACTTATTTTACACATGACTTCATGCAAATCGGTCAAAAATAAATAAATATATTTATATACTATAAATAAATTTTATGTCAAATAAAAGAAAACATAAAACTAAAAGGCGTTAAGAACTGTAATCTAGCCGCCATTAAAAATGTATAATATTTAAAAACATAATTAATTTTAAACTAAGATTTTTCTTAATAAAAAACAGAAACGATTAAATAATAAGTTATTTTAACTCCGATTTGTATAAGTCATTTAAATTATGATTACCTTAAGACCATAGATGATAATATAATTATGTAATTATTTTTAAAAATGAAATGTACCTACATATGTATATCAGTTGTACATCCATTTTAAACATCTAGCGAAGTTTTTGTGTAAAATACCTAGGTATTAATATTTTAAAAATTACGTACAAATAATGAACTTGATGTTTTATATTATTAATTTGGTTTTTCTACCATAAAACACATATTCGAATACATTTTACACTAATTTTAATACTCGAATTGTATTAAATAAGTATAACAAAAATGTAAGATTACATTATAAGTACGTAGCTGTTATAATTCTGGTTTATAATTTATTATCAGATTACCTATTTGGATTTAATTTAAAATCCTAATCAAATTTTTTTTTTTTATTATAAATAGAAAGTTATAAAATAATAGTTGTTAAGACATTAGTTTAATTACATCAAACAAAATCAATCGTATTCTGTCTAATTACTTTATACTTTGTCTAGTAAATTTATCAATATTCCATAACAAAGTCCAAATATATAACTGTTTTTTTACAATTACGTAATTGATTTATAAGGGAAAAGGTAAAAATGCCTTCAAACTATATAGTTATATTTGATTGTTTACTTGCATTGTTATATTTGATTTATATATTAACAACATACAGTTCAAACGATTTTATTGTTACTGTATTCTGTGTTTTATAAACCAGGATTATGTTAGTAGCAATAATCATTTTTTCATCGACATTACACAGCAAACACTACTAACATAATTTTAATAATTATTCTACTATATCACATACCTATAACATTTTAAGACGATTTAATATAAAAATGTAATTATTAAATCATTAAGTGTCCATAATAATTATAATTATTATTATTATTATTATTATTATATTTGTTATTATTACTGTTACTGTTATCATTACTATTATTATTATACGTACAGTATACGTTAAAGCGCTAAAAACGCGTCAATGCATGTGGAAAAGTCTTTATTTTTTTTTTTTTTTTTAAATATACGTGTATACAATATACAATTAAGAGATTTTAAATAGATTCTTTTGTTTAATTCATCAACTAAAATCAAAAAAAAAAATACTTCGCTAGATGATAAATCATCAAAGAAAATAACAAAATTTCATTTGATAATCATCCGTGGTCTAAAGTGTTCATTATATAATGATGATGATTTAAACAAGACTTGATCGCTTATATCAAAAATTAAATTTAAAATATAAGAATAGTTACGAATGTTACGATAATTATTGTATTACTTGCATGAGTAGTACATTACTTTACATCTGTCTGTCTGTCTTAAATATACAACCTTGTCTTGTTTATGTCTGATTTTATTTTACAATTTATTATCTATGTAGTTTGATTATAACACTTTTTACTTCCTCGGTCATTACATTTCAAAATAGATGATATTTGTTTTTATAAGAATCCACTTATGAATTCTACAGTGACTTGGAATTATATTATTTTTTAAATTGAATTTCAATAAAATATAAATACATAAGTACATTAGATCATACAAATGTGTAATACATTAAAAGTTCAACATTGATTGACATTCGAAGTCACAAATTAGATCACATTTTTTGCACTTAGAAAACATAAACGCACGATGCTTTAAAAACAATGGAAAAAATAAATATCAATGCGATGATTATTAATATATGTTTTATTATGTTCCTGCGGCCTATAGGTACTTATTTCAACTGTATCATGTTCATGGTTGCATCTTCAGTCGTGTCCACAATCATGATCCTGAATTATCACCACCGTAATGCGGACACTCACGTCATGTCAAAATGGGTAATTAAAATATTATAACACTATATTTTATAATTAAACTAAGATTATATAAATACTTACTGAGACAGCAACAAAACAACACAATACAAGAATGAAATAAGTTCCATAATAAACATAAACTGAATATTATTATGTTATAAAAATATTTGATTTTAAATGTTTCGGGAAAAAATCTATAATATAATATAATATTAAATAAAAATTTCTAAAACTTATTTTTAATTATCTCCAGATTTTCATAACATAGATCGTATTACATAAAATTATTATTTTAATAAAATTATATTTCTAATATTAATATTTACTGATTATATTTAAGACAATTTTAAAATAAGAAATAAGTGACAAATATTTTCGACGCATGTGTGTAACAAAATTTTCTATCTAATGTGCCAATATACAAATCGTAACATGTTTTTTCTATTAAAATATATCAAAGTTCTGATTCAAAATGCAGTTTTATAAAAAAAAAAATTTTAAAATACAAATTACAATAAATTTAAATAATTTTAAATTTAATTAATACGTATAAATAAATTATAAAAGATAATTTATATAGCTTATCAAAATCAATCCATTCATACGTTTTAATTTAAGCCCTCGATTCGAGGGTACCAGCCAGGACTAAATGGCTTATTATTTTTTTCAAATAATCTTTGTGAAATATATATTTTATTTTCATAGAAAAAAAAACATGATTTACTAAATCATAGTTTAATATTAAAAAGTATAAAATCTAAAAAAAAATGCTCAGTATACTTTCGAAGTTGAGATAAAATTACTACAAATATAATATCATCAAAAAATATTTTTACACGGTACCAATAAAGAATTTGAAATATGTCACAAAAATAAAAACTTTTTGTATTCAACAAATTTTATCAGAAATTTTTATTTTAACAATATTTTTAATCTCTTTGATACAGATAAAATGTATTAGTAATCGTTAATTTATTCTATAGCATTTCAAAAGGCTTATAAAATTATGCCTAATAATATCACCCATCTGTCAAAACTCCAATAGATAATAGATAAAACTACACTTATTAAAACTTAATAATTTTTTTCAATTAAAAATAATGAAACAATTTAAGTATTATTCCTATAACTAACTGTGTACGAAATTAAATGATATCATTTTTAATAAGACATGCATTATTAATTATTATTAATTACTTTATACCGTGTATTTTATACTACTTAAATATAAATAATCAATCGCTATAAAAAATACGGAGACTCCGAGATAGACGTCCGATATTTACTGCGTTTCATTTTTAAACTATAGCAAAGTAAGAATACTTTGTCAATAAAAAGTTATGTTAAAAAAATTTTAGTTTTCCCGTTAATTTTATTTTTTGAGATAATTTTGAAAAGCATTGAGAATTTTCAATTTTAACTTACTAAAAGTAACCGAGTAGATCCAATTTGTTGCAAGAAACTATCCTCGAAATTAAATACCAAAGCATTTTTTCTACAATAAATCGTGTACACATGCATCATAGTTAAATCAATACAGTCATTACGCAACTCCACTCAAAATCTAAAATTAATTACTCTGAACGTAAATTGTGGTATACTGAGCATTATAGTTAAATGAATATAGCACGTGTAAGCACAACAACTATCTAAGAGGTCGACGCATAATTTTAACAGAATATCAATATAACTATAACATAATAACAGAGTATGAGGGGGGGCGATTCCCTCCCCACCATCATTTGACACATTCCCCTGATTATACACGAAATCGTCCTCGACAGCGACAATCGTAACAATGACATCGACAACGTCGAGGACAAAAAAATAACAGTGCCATAACGACGATTCAAAACGTACACGCGTATGTGTGTGTGTGTGTGTGTGTGTTTAAACAGGTAAAACTCATGTTCCTGGTGTGGATGCCGTGCTTGTTGTGCATGAGCCGACCGAACCGCGACGATCCGCCCGGCAACGGAAACAAATCGTCAGACTGCAAGAACAAGTCGGCGGCATCGTCGATCCACCACCTGCCCGACCTGGAGTTCCGGGCCAAGTCTTCCAGGAGCCTGCTGGCCAACGTGCTCGACCTGGACGACGATCTGCGCTCGTCCACCCGGAGCTACCCGGGCGCCCGGAGCCAAGTGGCGCCGATGCCCGAGCACGTCATGGTCGAACAGCAACAGCAACAGCACACGATGTTGTCCGGCGGCGGCGGGGCGGCGTCCGCGACTTCGTGCCTAGGACCGCACCGAGAGCTGTCGCTCATCCTTAAGGAGCTCCGGATGATCACGGACAAGCTGCGCAAGGACGAGGAGGACGAGGAGATCACCAACGACTGGAAGTTCGCGGCCATGGTGGTCGACCGCATGTGCCTGTACATATTCACCTTCTTCACGGTGGCCGCCACCATAGCGGTTCTCATGTCCGCGCCGCACGTCATTGTCACGTGATTGCGCCATCGATGTCGTCGCGTCCAGTTCCAGTTCCAGCTCCAGCTCCAGCTCATCTCTTTCTCACTCTCTCTATATCTACACGTCATACGTATATCGTCATATATATAATATAATATAGGTAATATGAAATGGATGCAGCGGAGCAGCAATATTATGTAACGACCGCATGAAGTAGCTCTCCATAGCACGCGGAAAATTGACATGTAGAAATCGGTGTGGTACCGTTTTAAATTATTCATACAAGATAATTATGATATTATTAAATTATTAAATTATTAATATTATTAAATACTCCTAATATCTAAAATTATTATAATTATAATTTTTTTTCTCGAAACTACTTCTTTTCTAATGGTTAACTAAAGTATGTCTATGAATATATCTATTTGGTTTAAAAAGTAATAATAATAATGATACATTACTTTAGCCCTGCTCCTTGAAACGAATTAATATGAACGAACAAAAGAAATTAAGGTTGAGTAGATTTTATATCAACGTAAATCTGTTCCATAAAACATTAAATTGACTCGTCAAACATTACATCAATATTATAAATATCCGCATAAATAACGTTTGAAAAACAAACATTTATACAAAAAATTAAAATAGGTGCTTAACTGTATATATATTATAACAGACCTATTATTAAATATTCAAAATTAGTACGTATTCAATGTATAATATTGACAATTGTAAATTTTTGGATATTTTCATAACAACAAAAGAATTATTTGCATGTATGTAGATAAACTGTCATATGAATATTATTCTATTCATTTGTTTCGTCCTATTTAAGGAATAAGGGCTTTAAAAATGTATATGACATTGAAAATCTCAAATACAATCTAAAATCGATACATTTTTCGTTGTCACAGCGTCGTAAAACCCACATCATGTCGTGACAATATTAAGTTTTAAAATCAAAAATTATTATTATAATGATATACCTATGTTACTGAACATCAAAATAAATATAAAAGTTTCTATTACTAGTTGCAAAAAAAAAAAAATAGGTTAAACTAAAATTTATACTTAGCTTATTACTATACTGATATTGTATTTTTACATAAATGCACTTATTTCAAATTATCTTATATTGCATATTGATAATATTTTTAATTATTGTTATTGGGTTCCTCAATTTATTTTACAGTGGATACTTAGAATTATAATTTCGTTTTCCACACAAATACACTCGTAAATTTTGTCCCACACTTTCAACAAATTAGTTTATTCATTATCGATATACCTACACAGTACAAAAACGTTTATTTCAAAATACACACGTTTTATAACTGCTCTGTAAAAAAAAAACATATACCTTAAGTCTCTGGATGGCCTAATTATCGACAGTCATTGTCTTAAGATACTTACTTATATAGTTTATACACTCCGAGTACCTATCGATTTTTGGTTTTAATTTTAAATATCGATGACGTTGCAAATTTCTTACATATTGTATGTTGCTAATTGATTTTATTTTTAACAGCGATGATATATTTATTATTCATTTTGAAAGTATTTTACTGATATAAAAACTGCAATAAGTCCGAAATAATAAAAAAGGCATACTGTAGCGTTTTCAACGAATTTAAAAGTCTACTTACAAACAACTTTTCGTAAAAGTAAATTCATTTTCCATCATGTAACAATGATCCAAATTTTAAAACATATTTTATTTCAACTTCGGTCCTTAATATTTATCTTAAGCTAATGTGCTGATAAAAAACGTAGGTATGTGTAACTATAATGTTCTATAGTTATTGGATCGTTAATATTTTACTGGAACACTTATATTAATAACTTAATTTATTTCATAATCTATCTATAATAATTACTTAAAGTACTAAATATCATAAAGTTATTTGTCAAGACACTCAATTCGTGTGTCCTCTTGCTCAAATTAATATATATATATATATTATATATATAGACTTGATATAAATATATTATTAGCTTAACTAAAAAAAATTGCTTTTTTATATATTAATCATCTGTGAAGTAAGAAATAAATATATATTAATCAGACACACCTATTATATAATACGTAAATAAAAAGATTATTATGCGATCAGATTATGCAAATAATTGTATTTAAAATTAGTACAAAATCGATCACATTAATTGTTTATGTATTTTTTAGACATGTATTAGAATACTTAACTGTTTTATTTTACGCGCACGTTTTGCTGTGACAATCTTAAAATCTCAACATCATAAAGCCCAACGGTAAATTACAATAGTAATTATACTGATAATTATTAAAATTATTATCAATATCATCATTATTATTATTATTATTATTATTATTATAAATTTAACTATTAAAAATGTCTAATACATTAAATGACAAAATCTTGAGTCGTCTTCCGGTTCAAACAAATGTCATGGAATAAAAACAAAAAAATTAATTGAAAAATACATAGAATATAAACTTAATTTCATTTGATATAAATCATAATATACTACATATACAATTTACTAGGGATATTATAGAATAGCGATTAGAAATTAATTAATTTTCTTCGATGATGTTTCATGATTCATCGTTAACAAACAAAGTGTTAAATAATAAATTCAGCTCAATTAATTGCTTTAATAAATAAAATAAAAGTAAAATTATTGTATAAACTACGTTTGTTTAGAGCTATACATTGTTTACATAACATAAACAAAACTATTTTATAAAAATGAAAATCATTTTAAAATTAAATGTAAAAATGATTATAAAAAAGTTTTATATTAAAAACAAAATAAAAAACATGTAAATACCTACTTTGTTATTTGTACGTTGTTATTGAATCTTGTTAACATAATTATAATTGATTTTTTATTATTATAGCCTTTAGAAATAATAAAATATTAATGTATAGGTTTTGAACATTTTGTTATGTTTTAAAACGTAATAGAATATAAAACAACTATAAGAGACTTAAACTATATGTAACATGAATTTGACAACCTTATATGCTTGAAAATATGTGTAAAAAACAGTAATCCATATTATACATAATTAATACATCGTATTGTAAGGAAATTATGCTAAAACAACATTATTATATCAAATTGTTCTAAAACGTTATTTTATATAGTTACTTTGGTCAGTATTATTTTTATTATCATTATTATTACTTTTATCATCATTAGTTCAATTACAATTAGACAAATAGTAAGATTAGAAAATAAATTAATTAAATATTTAAGTAAAAGAAAAGTAATACATTACATCTTCGTTTATATATACCTACCCAATTGTTCGTTAGATTTAATCTAATATCTAAATATATTATTTTTGTTATTTTTTAATTATTTTATTTTACCAAATTGTTCTTATCATTTATTTGTTTATGTTTAGATACAGAACGCTCTGTTGTATTACTTTGCCAGTTTTTAATCTCAAATTATTATTACGAAAAATTATAAAAAAAAAAAAAACATACATAGAAAATATAATACAAATAAGTCCTTAATTAGACTATAGTTTGATTCAATGATTTAATATTGTATGCCCTAAAACCATATTACTATCATAAAATTTAATTGAAATTATGGTCCTGCTCATCTAGGCGCTGTTTTTTAAATTGTTAAGCAAAAATAAATGATTAAAAATAAAAATATATAACATAAAATTATTATGAAATAAAATTAAATTCATTTTATTATAATATATATATATTATATATGTTATATTATCGTTAAGTAAAATACAATAATTTCGTATTCGTTATCAACTAATCAGGTTTCATATATCCAAGTTAATTTTTTAATTTTTATTTTATTTATACGCCTGAGTTCATCTTTCTCTGCCACTTTTTAGCAGACAATCAAAAATATTAATTAATAACATTAAGATTTGTTGCAAATCGAAAGAACTATTTATTTTTTTTTTTTCTATTTTTATTTAATAATTTAATCATTGTTTTTTGTATAATTCAAATAGGTATCATTTCTATTGCTGTAGGTGTAACGTTTCATTTCACTAAAATGTATCTCTTTCTTAAACTTTTAGAGTTTTAGTAAACAAAAACTGTTCGTCCGCGATTTTAAATAACTTATCATTATATTATACAATACTTTTCAAACCGAAAAAAAAATTATCTAAAGTATATAAGAATTTTAAATTGAAAGATTAATAAAAAATTTTAAAAAATAATATCAGCAACACATATTTTGCTATTTGTAACTCTAGCGGTTTCGTATAGTCTAATGAGTTTCTCGATATATTTTTTTTTTTTTTTTTTTTAATTATAAAAATGTCATAATAAGCTGATACTATCAAAATTGTTTATATTAATAGATTACATAAAATGTTTCGTTAAGATTTTATTTTTGTTTTTATGTTATACAACATTTGTTTATTTTATTTTTACAGTTGATGTTTATTTATTTGTAATTTCTATGACAAATTGTAATGTGCGATTTTATAGGCCAACATAATTTTAAAGGCCGAAAAATATCTAATATTTATAATGATATCCGTAATGTTATTATATATTGATAAAACAATACAAAATGGTGTACACATAATATAGATTTGCTCATAGTATTTGTTAACTCTTGTGTAATGTAGATGATGTTTAATTTCAAGCAATTTGTACTTAAAAATATAAAAAGTTATAATTGTGATTATTAAATCATATTAATTTTAATTGTCTACTGAATATTATGTTGATTGTTGCTAATACCAATATTAACATGAACTAATACCAATGTTTTAACATCAATGTGTGGTGTTATAAAAACAAATTAAATATGATGAAAACTTATAGGTATACTACCTATTATTTATGGTTTCACTTCATTTAGATTCTTATAAATACATAATATTTTTCACAAAAAATATAGGTATTCTGTGTCAATCAACTGGTGATCCATTCAACGTAAGAAATGCATTCTTTAAATTTTATGTTAAATTATTTAGTAGTTAAAAAGTAAAAACCAACATATTATTTACTATTTTCAAATGTTATACCTTTTAAATATTTACTTTATTTAATAATATTATGCGTTTTTAATTCCTATTATTAAAGGATATTTTTATAAAGTAGAATATTTTTTGGAGTACTTTTATTTATTAATAATTTATGAGTGATAATTAGGAATTTTAAGTTTTTATAATCAGAATGAGTAGTAGGTGCCTGCGGATATCCTACAAAATATTGGTCTACTATTCCACTCATCTGAAGTTTAAATACTTATAACAGTATATAATAGTACATTGTACATTTAAAAGCAGTATTAAATTATTGTATTCAAAAATCAATCCTGAATAGATATTTAATGTGGTCAATAACTTATAATTTATAAGTGAAAAATGACTTGCATCTTATTCCATCTGGTTAATTGACCCAGGTGATAATGGCAGCGCTATCTGCCATCATTATTATCAACTTATCTACACGGTAGCAAAAATGAATACCACGAATCTTCTGTAGTTTTATGACAGAAGCCTCATTATTTCGTGGGTAAATATTTTTTAATCCTGATTTGCGGTTTAATAAAATAAAATAAAATAACATTAATGTTTATTATTTTTTCGCTTTGATCAGGCACCCTAATTAAATAAGTACATAGATC